GAGAGAGAGAGAGAGAGAGAGAGAGAGAGAGAGAGAGAGAGAGAGAGAGAGAGAGAGAGAGAGAAAAAAAAACGTGTGAGAGAGAAAAAAAACCGTGTGTTGACAGTATCGGACCGAAAAAACCGCCCTTATCAACGCGCAACATGAATCCGGAAGCGGGGCGACATGCACAAAGGACAAAAAATAGGGCGGTGTATCTTTCCATGTTCTGGCGGAAGATTCATTTATACGTTGGGTGGTGGAGAACGAAGGGCCGATGAATCCGGTAAGCGCGTAACGTATCTCTGGGAACTTTTTTTTTTTTTTTGGAGAATCTCTGAACAAATGAGACTGAATCCTCCGCTTGTAAGTAAGATCAATCTCAAGGATCACATACACACAGTCGCTTAATGCAAAAACACTAAGTAACAGCAAGACGATTGAGGTCAAAGAACAATCAAAGATTTCCAATGAGTTAAAAAAATTCCAGAAGAGCGGCTCCCCGACCGGTTTTGATCACCGCCAGGTGATCGTCCTCAGGGGATTTCTCCCACCACACATTCGTGCACGCGTCCCACGCACCTCCGCGTGCTTCCTACACCAAGCCCACCTTCGTCAACCACCAGTATCCCGAAATATCGGCTTTGGCGTTGGTCCCGGAAAAAGAGGTCTAAGACGACACAATCATTGCTTATAAACCCATCGTTCCTATGTCTACTGGTTCGGAAATACAAAAATACAAAAGCAAAGACTACAGATGTACCAAACGTTGTTCGGTCACTGGAGCTTCTGACAAGCAGTACCCAAGTTCGAGCCCCATACCGGTAAAAACTCAGCATCGTGGTTCCCGTTCGGCCGGGGACTGTTCGAAGCCTGAACGACCAGAACCGAAAAAACAACAAACGAAACAAATAAACCTACAGACAACAAACGGTCAGGACTGTACTCTGGGCAAAAACAAATGCTGGAAGCCCAGGCTCCGGGCAAAGCTCAAGAACCCGTCACACTGTGACAATTCGAACCTATGACATGCCAGAAACAGAACAGCAACTAGGATCTGATATACGAAAAAATAGCATTACTCTATGCTTTGGGAAAGACAATAGCATAGGCCCTGTGACTATCCTGCCGTCAGGGAACAGGTGTAACCCCACGGTTCCTCCCTCCCCCTCGCAAAGCGATTCAAAACCCGAAGAAAGAATTCATAGGGGAAATCCTTGATTCTCAATTCGCGTGCCAACAAATTCACTCGCTGCGGGCTCGTCTCCCGACGAGTTGTGTTGCGGTCGATCCTGTGTAAGTAACTACTGATGACTGCGCTTTTCTGCGACTTGCTGCCCCACGACTTATACGACTGGCTGTTTTTGAACACGAGGGTCTCAGAATCCCAAATCGACTTCTCATTCTTTGTCATTTGCACACTTCCCAGCCTGCCGTACTCGTCGATCTTCATTTCCAGTCCCAAAAATTTCCATTCCCCCTGTCCCTCATCGGTTCGCTTTAAAGTAAGGTTGTGCGGGTAACATTTCTCAAACCTGTCCCAGATACTCTCTACCTCCTTCTCCCTCAGTCCACAATCAAGGAGGAAAAGACTCACATCATCAATCAATCGTACGCCATACACATTGCGTCGCAATTTCCCCAAACTCTCAAGGAAATTAAACTCAGAATGGGCACACATGATACATGCCAAAGGGGGGCTAGTACTCTTGCCCATCGGAATCCCGACTACTTGTTTCAGTAGTGTATCCAGCGCATACGTGTAAGTATGCTTCAGCTCGAACCGGACAAAGCGCTTTATTTCGTCGAAACTCAACTACCTCCAATGGTCCTTACCTGTTGTCATCCCAAAGGTTGCCCCCCGTCCATGTGTGTTCACCCTGACGAAGCCTCGCCCCTTACTTTCATGGAATGCAATGATCCAGTCGACTGCTGCAAGGATGTCGTTGTGCAGTAGTCGGTTAAACATGTCTTTGATGTCGAATGCACGTGCTGACAGCTTCGTCGTGTTTGGCAAAGATTGTGCCCTCCTGTTGATCTTTGTAATCGCGAGACATCTTTCAAGTTGAAGTGACTATCCTCTGGCAACGTATACAGCAAGTGGTTTAGCCCTTTCGCCACTGCCCAGCAACTTCGAATTGTCGGTTCAGTGAAGGTGGGGCAGATAGGCCTATACCTATCCAAGTCCTTGTGCTTGGGTAAGGCATATGCATATCCCACCTTTCCTTTCAGGTCCCACTTCGCAAACGAGGTAAGTTCCTCCACCCCCAGATCCTTCCTCATTGACATCAACACTTCTGCTTCACCACACGTCACAGGTATGTAACCTTCATTCCTGATGAATATGTCTTTCATCCCTTCATAGTACAGTACATGACAAATCAATAACGTCTCCCCTGGGTTGCGGTCCAGGGGTGTCAGAACCAAACCCTTGAATCTCTCCTTGGTGTGTAGCACACAATTCCTATCCAGGTAGCAGGACTCATCCCGGATGTTCTGCAGACAAGTGTCCAAAACGGCGTTGCTGCAGCAGACGGTTTGTCCCTTACTGTTCTTCCAAGATTCAAAACCCAAACGAATCTCGGACTTCAGAATGCTCAAGCGATCCGCCCTACGTGCTTTCGGTACGTTGTTGGCATTTAGCAAAAGTTCAGGCACATCCTCGATCTCTTGCAGTCTACATCGCACGTGGTCTCTCACCCTTGGGTAAGGAAGGTCGGTACAGGTACAGGCCGCCACATCAACTCCAGCAAAGCTGCGTTGATTGTGGATAATGTCAGCGACACTTGGGTTCTTCACCCAGACAATCCTGACATTCGCTCGTGCTCTGCGGATAATGCATGGAGGTAGGATAAAATCCCCGAACATGTCGTTAACTACCCTACGTAATTAACTCAGCTTAATCCGATCATCAAACAGCAGTCTAAACACAGGTGCTACTGAAAAACTGAAACCAAAACAATCACGAACCACGTGTGCTATCAGCCTACGCAGGTAAGCCCTGGTGGATTTTTTGTCAAAATCCTTCGTAGCATTGATTAAGATGTCCAAAGAGTTGAGGTCCCATCTCTTCAGTGCTTCCATTCTTCTCGGATTTCGGAGCAGGGATATCAAGAAAGGTTTATACTTATTCAGCCTCGGTTGCCACTTCCGTAAGTAAACGAATTCGATAACACCCCCTTGCTCGATCCGGATTCTACAGTCTTTAAATCTACAACTTCGTCCCTCTACTTTGACCTCGGAATTGCCGAACGATTTTTTCAGCGCCCTCCATGGAGCACGCCAACTCCTTCCCCTGTTCGAAATCAAAGTAAATGAGCGGACGCCCAATCTCTCTTGTTCCTTCAACAATACACCCAGGTCCACTGACCATTCCTCCGCACTGCTTACCTGAAAACAGATAGGGTCCAAACTTGCTCCATTCAGTACGGTGTTAGTCTGTTTGGTGTTTCCAGCCCTTCCCCTTTCTCTCTTCCCTTTCCTCCCCTTTGTATTTCCTTGCTTCTTTACGACAGTATTCAGGTATGGCGACCATCGTCGGATGTACAGGGCTTCCAATCAAAGGAGCTCTTGCGCCGCACACTGTCCTACTGGCAAGGCCGTATATGACTCGGAGCCAAACGTATCCCACCATCGGTACAAATGCGATCGCTTAGATCTCCTAGCCGACACGGACACGTGTTCGTTCCAACGTATATCAATCGATCGTGCAGTTTTACCGACGTATTGTGACTTACAGTAAGGGGATGTAAGTACATACACGCAACAATCCAACTTTAGAAAGTCTAAACCATGCAAGCTGAACAAATCGAGCCAATTTGGAATGCATTTCTCCATCCACCTGAAAGCGCCACTCAAAGCAAGTCTCAGGATCACTAGCTTAAAAAGGATCTCTACATTCGGGTCGGTGCTACCCCTAGTCCTCCGGAAATCGATCAGCAAATCACAAATATCGCAGAGTTGTATGTCGGTGAGGGGACTTCAGTTACCTACATCATTGTCCGCTTCCGATCCGCCATCCCGTTCTTCCGACACAAGGTTAACAACGGACTTCTCCTTCGTTCCTCCGTACTTAACCTCAGCGCGGTGGTCGGCCAGATCGAAGATTGTTTGTAGCTTCGTCTTGTATGTAACTCCCTCCGTGATACACATGGCTTTGACTTTGTCATGGTGCAGGTCGATCATCCCCCGTCTCGTTTTCTCCAAGAACTGCAGTCACTCCATCGTGTTGTCTTGTATCCCAGTCTTGATCCCAGTCATCGCCTTTTGTGCTATCCGGAATTTCGTGGCTTTCATCTGGATGGTGCGCGACTTTAGCCTCTCATCAAGTCTCTGAGGTCGAATCGTAGAGCGTCGCGAAGCTCGTTTGGCTGGCGTAGTCAGCGGGGGGATGTCCCCGACAGGTGTCTCTTCTCCTCGTTTAGTCTCGTCGGTGATCTCCTCCACTTGGCTCCTAACCTCTGCGGGCATTGATGTAGACGGGACGTCTTCCAATGCTATAGCTTTGCCTTTGAGATCGGCAAAGTTCTCGGTAATCGCCTGGCATACTTCCGCCTTGATAACGTCTGGAATGTGACAAAGTCGCAACGCGACTTGTACATCCACAACTTTAGTAATCGCTTCACGTTCCTCCTCTCGCCGCCTCAATTTCTCCTGTTTCTTCAGATTGCGTAGTTCTTCAGCTTTCCTTGCTTCGGCTATGGCTAGAGCTTCCTCCTCCTCTCTTTTCTTCTCTGCTTCCCTCTCACGTTTCTTGGCTTCTTTGGCTTCACGCTTCGCAACCTCCATATCGATGAAGCTTTGCATCTTCGCAACACTCCTCCCCAAATCATCCAGTTTACTTACTACGCGCGGCTCTTCAGATGGCGACCTCTTGTACTCATTACTGCGAGGTCTTCTCGGTGATTCTGAACTTCTTCGTCTGGCGAACTCATGTGGGCAGCGAAATCCGTCGACCTCCATCTGGCGTCTCGTCGCGTCGTTGGTCCAAAAACGCCAACAGTCAGAACAGTAGTGTCCTACCACTTTGCAGCCGAGGCAGACAGGTGGCGGTCTCCTCTTCGGTTCGCTGCCTTGCGCCATGGATTCGGCCCTTCGGTCTCTCTTGTTGCCTCCGTAGCTCCATTCTTGGCTCAGGGAACGGTACTCACGTCGTTCCTCTCGTCCTCTCTCGCGATGGTAACCGTCATCACGGTTCCCATACCTCTGGTAGTCGTCCCCCTGGCTTCTGTCGCGTCGGTGGTCATCATCACGGTTGTATCTCCCGGACATCTCCGTTCCTCGGGAATACCGTACCTTCCCTTTACTCGGTAATATCGTGGTCTTCGAACTCTTCCTCGTAACAGTTCCACCTTCTCCGGTGCAGTGGCGTGCTCACACAGTCCCGGTGGTACACCTCCAGGTTGGTTCACACGTGCTTCAACAGGTAAGTAAGACCTCCGCTTGAACATGGAAAGATACATTGCGATATATGGGCCTCGCTGCACTACTCTGGAAATGTGCAAAACGAGAGTGAATCGAGTGAATCTACCGCTGCAACATGGAAATAAACACCGCCACATTTGTGTGTGTGTGTGTGTGTGTGTGTGTGTGTGTGTGTGTGTGTG